AATTAAAAGTGTTTTGGGGACACAAAAATATTAAGAAAAGAAACATTTTTTCTGTAAATTTCATTTGTTTGCAAAATTTTGTTCTAAGATACACACATTAAAGTATACAAACAAGAAGTAAACAATTCAGTAGGGAAACATGAATATGAATGATTCAGTAAATGTCATGACCTTAGTAAATGTAAAACATGTACTTATAATTTATTTATATGTGAAAGTTCAATTCACTATCAAAATGAAATAATTATTACTACATACAAATAATATTTATACTTATAACCAGAAATGTGATAAAGTAAATTACTGTTAGTGTTAGGCTGAGAAAAATAATATCTCTGTTTCTCGTTTCCACGCGCATCATTTTGAACTATGTGCCTAGGACGTTTTTTTTTTCCTTCTAAAGCATTACGAAATGCGCTTGTACTCGCACTTGTCTCAAATTTCTCCCATTTTAGCTCGAGAAACAGAGAATTTTTTTTCCTGGCCTTACCTGTAAGCTAATGGTATCCTTATTTTTTTTAACAGAATGTCTGCTACACAAAAGTTTGCCCTTGTGCTATAGCTAAGATTGCCTGAATATAATTGCTATTAAAAATATCTAACATGGTCTATTTTCCACAAGTTCTCATCGTGTATGTCAGTCTGAATCTTTAGTGCACCTCATCTCTCACTGATTACCAGTAAAGTGTGCCATATATGGTACATGTAGAATGGAGAAATGTTTTCGTCTGTTTCATTCCTTCAAATCAACCTTTCATGCATGTATTCAAAAGCAATATTTAATAAAAGTTAAGTATCGACCTTATATCTTGTTGTTGTAGTAATATACAAAACGTATAAACACATTATTATATACTCTATATTATACATTAATAAAAAAAAATTAAAAGTGTGTCACAGCTATATTTTCAATTTTCCCCGAGGACAAGAAGCAAAACATTTTTTTGCCCTTATATACAAATTGCTTGAATAATCAATACCAGCAATATATGCGTTCTCTCTAAGATTTTTGACAAAGATGGCAGCTAATTTGCATACCAATGAGCATATAAAATTGCATAATCTATTTATAGTATTTCACTAATGACTTACAATCATAATTAAAATTTGAAACATAGCATTTTTTTTACAGCCATCTAAAAGCCAAGGTAATTTCATCTTTTATTAAAATATTTTGAAATAAATGTGATGTGATAAATGCATGGTACGACAGTGAAATACTGTAAAAAACTTGATTTTAGCTGGAATTAATTTTCACTGAAAAGACTTTTTGGGTGTTTTGTATGGAATGTATTTTCACTGATTGTTGATGAGTTGAATGTAAAATATAGGAAAAAAGTATATTCACTGGATTTTATTTTCACTGAATCATTCCTTCAGCAAAAATAGCAAAAATTAATTCCAAGCGAGAATAAAGGATTTTACAGTAGATTAAATAAACAAGCTGCTCCCTGATTGGTCTAATTGTTAGAAATTAGGGCTTGGTAGCCAATCAGACACATTCATGTAAGAATCAACTCTAGAGCAAATGTGTAAAAAAAATATTAAATACTTTTTCTGCATAAAGCGAGTACATTTTTGTTAAAACAACATTTAAATGTGTGTTGCGCACTCACTGTGCAGTTTTAGGTAATTTAGTGTTAGTATTACCAGATTAATAAAATTACAAATAATTGCAGCATATGCCCCTTTAATCAAAAACTTGACTGTGTAGCATTATAAAGTACTGTCTACTTTTTATACAAGCACAACTCATATGCATTTATATTAATATACCGTAATATCTACTCGTAATGCACTAAAATTGACAATTCTGCAAAAAAAGCTGTGTTTTTTTTGTTTCTTTTTTAAACATATTGCACTTGTTCCAACATTCAAAATGTCACTTTTATTTGACATCACATTTGAAAATTTTCCTTCATCCATATTAAAACATGGCTTTTAGAACTGACTGACGGTTTCTAAAGTTCATAAAGGTCAACGCCCGAGCCCTGAACATCATACAACATTTATAAATGAAATACTAGTAGTCTAATATTATAAATTATAAAAACGAGTACTTCATTCCTACACTCATTTGGGGGAATACGCCAGAATGTACAAGTTGATCTCGTAATATACATGTACACATACAATGACAACTAAAATCAAAATGGGGCTCCTTCCGAGTTGTTTACAACCAAAGTGATTTATAATTATACGGTTACTGATAACAATCGAGACTACTGTTGTATGGGGATCGTTAACATATTTATACTCTCCTCGCTTATCTATCTTGTTCTCTGGTATTCGACACAGTGTGAGTGTCAAGAACGAGAATGAAGCATCGCCACGACCAGTAGCAATACATACAAATAGTATACTGGCAAAACCGTGTTGGCACGTCACTGTATAACTACCGGAAGTGGAAGCACAGATAGTTAAACAGCGCTGTATTCCATATAAGTATGACCAAATTCGTGTTAAAAACGGGTCTACCGATTGTTGGTTAACCCAAAAATACCGAATAAGCGAATTCAATTCTACTTACCAGAGTCTGCTCATAGCCGAGCTGATTCGGTGAGGCTACCATGTCCGCCATGTTTGTTGGTGAATACAAATAGGTCAAAGGTCAATGTTGATGGCACCTGCTATTTTTTATGAGCGAAAATAAAGATTAGTTGTGGCTGTGTAAGATGACCTTTGACCAATATACACATTGCTTTAAATAAATTAATGAAAAAAAAAATAAAAATAAATAAATATCCTCGACCACTTTATAAAACCACCAGGACGCCCGTCCGAAACAGAGACCGGGGGGGGGGGGTACTGCCCGGGTACTGACGATCACGCTGACGATCGCCGTACCGATGCAAAGTTACTGAAAATAATAAATCGGTCAGTACTACTTTAATTAATTGTTTCCCGATTTGTCATCGCTATTACTAATGAAAAATCAGAAAAATATTAATAAAAAAATAATCGATTTATTTAGATTTTCTGTTTTCAGGTGTAACGATGATAGGTACCGACGAACGAAACATCTGTGATTCAATTTGCCCTCAGGAAGTACTCCCGCCATTTATAATGACTTTGAGGGAAACCTTGACGAACACAAAACACTTTGTATACGTTTGTGTCAGCAAATGTTGCGCTTTGGCAGAAAGAAGATTCGCTCAAAATTAAAAAAGCGCGACAAATTCCATCGTTGAGGGCGGGATACAAAACCGATGTCAACTGAAACATTGCGGCCATACACAACAACTACAACATTAAATGAATACAATACATGCATTTATTTTAATGTTTTTAAATATTTGTTTTCTGTGTCAAGTGCCCAAGACAAAATCGATATGCAAATAGGGAGAAAATATCAATAAATGCAAGAATTCGAACATTCATGGACAAGATTGAAATATTTTTCAATATTTTTTTCAAACTGCCAAACGTACACGGCTTCCAAAAAAGGTTAACAAAATCGTTGGTTGCTTAAGTTGGTTATAATACATTGGGTTTCGAACTTACAAAACGCATCCAGTTCAAAAATATCCACGTAAATATTGCGTTATTGGAATGAACGGAATTGAAGGTCAAACAGTGTCCAGCCTGAGACTAATCTCATAGAATCTACCGGCGTTCGGAGAAATGTGTTTATTTTATTGTCGATATGGGCAAATGTGCAAAATAATGCATGAAGTGCATGCATTAATTTAATGGGAAATATTTTTCGGCCAAAATTTTTTTTTTCAGCAGCGAGTGGGAAATGTGTCCCGTCAAGTCAGCGCATGACATGTATCATTAGACATTATTTACGGAATTCCAAAATAGATCTGAACGCAGTTTTTCGTAGTATATCGTATACGTTGATCGAAAACGCCTACAACTTTAACCAATTATATAAAGGTGGAGCCGACAAGATTTTACCGCACGTTAAATACTTAGTCATTGGACAGCCGACTGGGGGCGCATATTCCACTGGTAGTCAATAATTCGTCACGAAATAATCGCTTAATCTTATCTCTTATAATATACTTTAGGTGAACACCGTGACACAGTGATCATCGGTCGGTCCGTGATAAAACATGGTGTTGATCGAACTTTGTACACATTACAAGCATAGCATTCAACCGTAAACCAGCGTCGACGTCATGTCGAGAGGAAATCAACAAGCGAAGCTCGGCTTTGCGCCCACTTTGGTAAGTGCTTAATATTTTGACAAACGCCAGAAACAAACCATAAACAAATTGTTAACATGTTTTTAAAAGTCATCGGCATTTCCAAACGTATATGACGCCTCTCTCTCTATATATATATATACATATATGCATTATATATGTCAAGGGGAACAGGGCAGTTCTGATTTAACCGCCAACTATTTTCGGACGTACATGTAACGTACCACTCTGAGAAAACTGAGTTCCAATTCATGATTCTAAAAAGGTATAACGCTATACATATTGTTCAGGAATCAACATCCGGTATGTGTAATACTAAGGATCAATGTAAAGTACTTGTTGACGAATATTTGACCTTTGACATATATGCGTGTACATACTTTGAGAGATATCTCTTCATAGGAATCGGTACTACATACGACAGTCTCGCTATCACCTGTGGACATACCGACACTAATCGTTATGTGGTATATTCAGTTAACGGGATGTCAAAATTTCACAATTCAGAATAGAATAGAATAGAATAGAATAGAATAGAATAGAATAGAATAGAATAGAATAGAATAGAATAGAATAGAATAGAATAGAATAGAATAGAGGAGAATAGAATAGAATAGAATTAAGCTTTATTCTGTTTATGTAAGTCAGATCAATAAAGCAAAATTATTAGAATAAGCGATTCAAGTTTGAACTGTGGGTTATTTAATACAGCTGACTAAATAGTGTCCAAGTGCTAATAATATTTTATGTTTTAATATTGTAAACTGTTACTTCTAATTTTTGTTTCGATAGTCATGATTGATTTGTGTATCACGCCGTTCACTGTATTTCAATGTTCAATGTATAACTAACACTCCATAAGATAATGTATTCCATCTTCTACGAGTACTCCCTTTATTGCAGTGTGCAAATAATCATTGTTAAGTAGTGTTTTACGCTTTGTATGGTGACATGTTTCTCTTACTCGTTTGTGGTACCTATTGCTCAGAGTACTCTCAGACATAGTCGTGATTTTGATGTACAATAATCAGGATTTCCAATATTATAAAATACTTTATTTTAGCTGGAATTAATTTTCGCTGAAAAGACTTTTTGGGTGTTTTGTATGGAATTTATTTTCACTGATTTTTGACGAGTTGAATGTAAAATAGAGGAAAAGGGTATATTCGCTAGATTTTATTTTCACTGAATCATTCCTTCAGCGAAAATAACGAAAATGAATTCTAAGCAAAAATAAAGTATTTCACAATAGACACCATGACATAGATATGACAAAATATGTTTGTCTAGTTGGACAGTCTTTAGTGCTATCACTATCAATTATACACATTTTAACGTTGCGATGTTACCAGTGTGTCCATGGGTGCGGCTACTCGCGTGGGTTAGATATGCAGTGAGAGATTAATAGTCTGCTTTTCAACACTTCTGCCCTCATTGCTTAAACTAGTTAAATATTGTCATATTTGTTTTTGCATAAAGAATTTCATACGTTTAATTATTGTATGAATACCTAATTACACCCATTTTGATATTGTTTATACGTATAATGGGGTCATTATCATTTCATGCACACGACCTTTGGCAGGACACGTGATGTGTCACGTGATCATTTGAAGTTTCAAAGTTTAAAGATGGACAATACCGATTATTATTTGCAGCTTGACAACAGGCAGATCACTTCTTGCTGTCCAGCCCTTTCAATCCTCATAATGACTCACTTTTTAAACTAGCAAACATTTTAGCATATCTTTAAAATATGTGATAAATTTATGAGAATTTACAGGTGAAAAATGGAGGTACATATGAACATGACAAAAACTAAAATTTCTCATTAGGACCAAACAAAAACAAACTGAAGGTTCGAACTACGAACTACGAAACATATTTTTGGTGTATTTTGATGTGTTTCTACTCAAGATTTGGATGCGAAAAATTTGCATTTTTTGAAGAAAAAAAACATGTATTGAAATGAGTGACAGCAGAGACCCTAGTTTTTCCCATCATGCCTTGCAGATTAACCATTTTTGTGGTGCAACAATATCTTTTACGTATCTTTTACTGTTGCACACTCATGAACAAATCCCTGCTGGTGTTTGTCAGTCAAGAAAGTATTGTACTCTAGAGATACAAAATATGAGTGATACAGACATGTTTTTGTTACTACTATGCGGTTATTAGTATATTTCCCACCTAAAACATATACTGATATGTGTGTGACGTAGGTTGTACAAGCAAGATAGTTCAGGGATCGTTTCCTAGCTGCTAGCGTAAAGAGAAGGGACAGAAAATTAAACAATAGCTAAAATATCAACAGTATTGTCAAAATTGTATTTCAACATATCGACTGAGAGGTCTTCAAAAGTTCTATTTTTTACCAATTTGTGTTCATAGATGACGCATTTGTATTCAAATGGCAGCTTTTGCTTTGAAAATTGAATTAAAATTACAGATGGGTCTATAGAATCCATTTAATTGTCACTGGTGCCTGAAAGTGTGCATATTAATTATGCCACTCGGTAATGAGAAAACACCGTTTGGCCAAATTTTCCCGTTACGAATTTATTGTAGATACTGTATACTCTAATGTATCAACGAGTGTATCGTTGATAACAAATTTAATACATTTCTGAAGATCATATAGTTTTCAAAAAAAAATGTGATCACTGTTTTACGTATTGGTAGTTTTATTGAAGAAACTTGGATGTTATAGGATGAATATATGAGTGTTGCGTGAAATCAAAAACACCCTGCTGATTAACATACTTTCTGTGATAAAATGCGGATTTTTATGAAAAATCAGAACACCCTTATTTTAGAGAAATACTGAATTTGTTTTTGAACAAGATACACTTTAGCTAAGAATGATACGAAACCTTTCCATCCTGTTTCAACGCCTTTGTGTGCGATTTGACGTATTTGTTTCAGTGAGAACAAGAGTCTCCCCGGGGTATTTATAATATAGCGTAGTAAGCGAAATGTGTGTGTTTCGTAAATTATTAGCAAAATAGGGAAGCAACCTGTAAAGTTTTTTTTTTTTTTTTTAGAAATTGTGAAATCGTTTTTATGTTTTTGGTCGCTGGAGAAGAACTTGAGACAGGCATAATTACATTATATTCATTCTCGACTTTATTCCATGAACTATGTATTTACAAGTGTTTTCGCTTGACGTGCATCTTTGTTTCGATTTTGGTGTCACGGTTTATTGAATGTAAACGACAATTTGATAAAATGCCCAGCGAAATGAGGATCCACAGTGTTTTTGTTGGAATAAACACGTAACACTACGTCAACACGAACCGCATGTGGTTTTGAAATTAAATGTTAATTTATAAACGGATTATTCGTACCCATCCAGGTTCTGAGTTGAATAACTAAACTGACTGATTACGTATTATTGAGCTTTATTCCGTGTGATTATTTGTGAATATAACGCGTGCCATGTTTAACTGGTACCAGGGTCGCATAAGATATGACATTCTTCAATTTAGAGAAAACTCATATGATGAATATCCGACAAACACGGGTAAGTAACACGTAGCCTGCGGGACGCGTACACGATCTTTTATTTTGTTTCTAATTATTAGCAATTAATTAATTGATTAAATTCTATTTGACTGATGTGGAATAATTTATTGCAATGATGCCTGGGTTATATTAACCGTTCCATGTTTAACACAGTCTGAACAGTCGCAATTTTTTGACACTTTCCGATGAAAATGTAAATAAACTAATAGTATCGTCTCCGACTACGTTGCGTCACTATTGATTACGCGTTATGAGAAGATACTTTTCGGTTCTTTTGGTTGCTTATTATTACGTGAATATTATTTTATTTAAAAATAATAGCTGTTTTGAAAATAAGTACAAATAGAAAGTAAAATTGATAACCATGGGAGCATAGACAATATAATATCTCAAAAATGTGTTAAATGTGATATAAATCCGAGTTAAGGCGTACAATGTTCCTTGCCTACATTTTAGGGTAGGATAAGGGGCCTAAATAAAAGAACTTGAAGTGGCTATTTGACAAATATATCCACAACATTTAGAAAAGTTGAAAAAAAGTTTTCTGGATTTTAAAATCAAACAAACGTAATTCTCAGTACTTGCATGTTCTAAAGGCGAAAAATTGAGAACTGAATGGACATTTTTTTAAGATTCATTTGGTATGTTATGACAAACGCGGTTAGAACAAACTGCATGATACGAAGTCACGTTCATGGCAGCATGTAGCAACCAAGGCAACCTTGTAGCAACCAGAGAACCACGCCAGTTCAATATCCAGACCAAGCAATGATATCTGTGTAAATACATGATCCCGTGACGAAACTGTGTGGTTTGCGTTACAATATAAAATGGCCCGTGACATCACGTTGATGGTACATCGTACGCATCTGTTAAAAAAAACTGGGGCGTGGTACAGCTCGAATTATTGTTGTTATCTGAGAGTACAGAAATCACATGGTACTGCCTAACACCTAACAGCGTTGATGGTACTGTATTGCTAATAATATAATAATGTCAATGATTTATACTCGTTTATGGCATGGGTTGTCGTTGTTGTCGACAGCATGGTGTCAGGTGTGGCACGGCTATGTTGCTATAGAAACAATTGCAATATTTGTGTACGGTTAAGACAAAAGTTAGATTTATTTATAAATACATAGGCAATAGAAGGTGTTCTCGCGTGAAAATGGCCCCACCTGCAGCTGTCCACTCTGAACTCACCCTCGTTCAGTTTGTAAAACTGTATCGAGCATTCCTAGTTGTAACAATAACGTCCAGTAGGAGGGAATGTAAAACTGACGGTCGTGCGGACTGTCTCTACCCCATTGCCCGAAACAAAACTGGGACTTTTCCTAAAAGAAAATAAGGCGCCGTTTTTTTTAGATATTTTGTGCGATCAAAGCCTTCCTACCACGCCGTCAACAATATAATTTCAGTTCGTGTGCCTGATATCTGATGATCGAATTGTAATTTTAAAGTGTGTGGTGATATCATCTCGGTGACATTATTTGAGAAATTATTTGTGATATTTTTATTCAACGAACCTGATTCTAAATGAGGGCGTCATTTTTATGTTGCCAATTTATTGAAGTGTAATACAGTATTGTTTAGCGCACGTTTTTACTAGGTACAAGTAATATACTTAAAAACATTTCGTCTTCCACCCCGGCGAAAAAATAATATTTAATATACGTATTTGTAATAATATAGTTTTGCAGGAGTTTGAAACAAGAAAAACACACATTTTGGCAACACAGACGCGAATTGCCACCGAGATTTCGTTTAAAGCGAACCTGAAAACCGCGAGACTTGTTTTTGCCCCTGCAAGTACGAGCTCCGACGGAACAGTTTGATACTCCCTATGTTCTTTATTCGATAATTCCTTTACTATCCTAGATAACAGTGTTATTTTTTTGTCAACTAGATTCGTGAATAGAACCGGCTACAACAAACTAACAACAAGTGTTGAACATTTAAAAGCATTTCTGTTAAAGTAGCAGTGTTATTCAGAGTTATCTATAGCCCGACATGTAGGCGAGAGTACGCCCTCGCCGACCGAACGGCATCAGACCTCCCTGTATTGCCCTGTGTTGGGTTTTGAGCACCGCGGAGGGCGCAACTCAGGCGACTCGTCAGGTTAAGTTATCTAGTGATGTTTTATTCTTAAGAGATGACGACTTTGATAAAACGTTGAGAGACTCTAGATAGAAGGAATTCCTTTGCAATGGACATCGTTTATAACGACAATGCTTAGGACGCTAAAAAGACCCATGGAAATGGAGATTTCCCGGTCTATCACGGGGAGTTAAATTTCTACAGCAAACAATGCTGATTTCATTATGCGGGGTTGTCACGTGTTTCCATGGAAACTGCATATTTGACTACAATGATACACAATCACATGTAAAATAAATAAGTGCGAGAACGTAAAACTGACCGTGTTGTCAGGATTATACAGAGATCCATGTGAAACGATAAAATAATGACACACTGGAATACCCCCATGCGCATGGGCGCTGAATTGAAGGTACGTACCAGTAATTTAAAGCGCGTGTGAATATTTCATTTTTTTTATTTAACGAACTGTTTTGAGCGTCATATCAAAAGCTATTCTTATCTAAATAGATCATCATGTAATGTACTGTTGTGCCGTATTGTGTCCTTAGGAATTAATTCCCATGAAGTATATTTGGGTAGAACATGGCCATGATCTTGAATAATTAAAATTCAAAAGTAGAGTTGACATATTTTATAATATCTGTTCTTAGATGCATGGCCAGTATAGAACTGACCTGGCACGGTACGCCAAAGACGAGAGCGTCAGGATCAAATTAGAGCAAGAAAAACTGCGACGATTAGAAAAAGAACATCGAAGAAAAGAAGCAGAATTAAGAGTACACGAAGGGTCTGAGTTGCTTATGGATAAATGTAAAGGTGAGGGAAGCAGTTTTTATACAAGTTATGTTTTTGCTTTCAATTAATAATTAAAAAATATAAAAAAATGCCTTGGTGTCATTATGGTACTAGAGTAATGGCTAAAAAACTCATATATTATTTTCAATACAAATCCTTATATTTTTTACGGGTTTTCAGCTGGTATAAATTGGATAAGACGAGGTGCCCACTCTAGCGTTGGAGACGATTGGGTGTTTCTTACGTTACTTGGAGTCGTTATGGCACTGCTGTCATTTGCCATCGACTACTGTGTTGCTTTGTTTCAAAAAGGTATGACGTCATAATTATTGTCAATTTGTATGAATGTCCAACTATGAAAAGTATCAAGCTATTAGCTGACTTGGTATTCGATGATCACAATTTGCATATATTTCCCATGATTCATTCAACGACCTTTAAACTGCATAGTTATTAAGCAGTGACAAGTGAATGTGTTTTGCAATGCGTGGCAATGTGTATTTTTTATATTAGTCATGGTATTCATTTGCAGTTTTTTTTATTTTATTTATTTATTTTCTACTTTTTCTTCATTATTATTTTTTTTGTTTGTTTGATGTTTTTAGGTCAAGTATACTTTTTTCATAAATTAGACGGCCAACCAGGCCCGCAGTATATTGTATGGATAGTTTATCCTACGGCACTGATTCTATTTTCTGCAGTTTTTACGTATTACGTGGAAGCTAATGCCGTCGGTAAGTTGTGAGCAAATATCGTAATCAATATTCTCTATAAAAAAGAACTATCAATACACTTTCATTGGTGAGGGCAGTAGTTCCAGGACTGAATGTTTTCAGTTATCGCGATAACTTACACGGAGTTCGATCATCAGATGCATCAGAATCGTCGCGCTGAGTCGTGTGTGAGTCTTATGTGACGCATACAACGTGAACAATACAGCGTTTGCTTGTACAATATTCGAATGTGCGCTGCACGACGACTGTCGTATAAAATGCATACTCCCCTCAACGGTCATAACTTAGCAGTCATTTGTTTTTATTGCAGGTTCGGGTATTCCACAGCTGAAAACTATTATTAGAGGAATTATTTTAAAAGAATATTTATCATTTCGTACTGCCGTGTCCAAAATTGTAGGATTAGGATGCGCCCTAGGCACCAGTTTACCACTTGGCAAAGTCGTGAGTACATATATCGGAATTACATTCCACCGCGTGCTGGCGCTGTTCGTTTCTTAAATGAACTGTAAGCGGGTGCCATATTTGTTTACATTTTTAGTAAAATTCTTATTACACACAATTCTCTCTGTTTTTTTCCAATTGCACAGGGTCCGTTTGTACACATAGCTAACATGGTAGCCACAGTACTGAATAGATGGATCTCAAAAGTAACAGGCGCTTATGTGGTAATAAATTTTGTAAACTGTCACATTACGTTAAATAAAGAGCATTTGGTAGATATTTTCTATTACGCAGTAGGATCTGTTAAGGTTTGGTTTATGTATGACTACTAGTTTTCTTCAAACTCACTGAGATGATAGTTTTAAGTATTAAATTCACTAAATTGTATTACATGTTAGTACAGCACATGCACACAACCGTGATCAAAATGGCGTCTTTTCAGTCCATAAAAAATGACCAATAATGCTCACCTTACCATATTTACAACG